CTCCAGTCCCCTAATCATCTTTGTTGCTCTTCTCTGCACTCTTTCTAGAGTCTCCACATCTTTTCTACATCATGACAGTGCAAGCCATGGGCCTGCACCTTGGAGATGCAGCTGATCATGCAAAATTGCGTTCAATGATCCGAAAAGCAGACTCTGCACTAGGAAGAAGAAGATGAATGAGGAACGCTTCTAAACCACTTCAAAATACAAGAGGAAAAGAAACTAGCTTGGGTCCTCTTACGTATCGTGAGTCGGAAGCCTCAACTCTTAGCCACAATTGTGGAATTTACTTTTCCAGTTTTCCACTTCTTCCTTTGGTGTTTTTTTTTCTCTTCCTAGAAGCAGGAGAGAAAATGGCCTTGCAGTTCTGGGAAGGAACCCTACCTATCATGAATATGCATGTTTCGGCTTTGATATGCCATTTCCCCTTGTTTCCCCTGCTCTTTTGCTTGTTTTCTGCACAGCCCAGGGAGCAACAGCAATTGAAGAGTACTTTAGAGATCGTATTTGAACAGAAGAAACCTCCGTGATTATGCAGATGTGGCAGACTTTTGCAAACAGTGGTTTTTAGAGCCATCCACTTGGGCACTCTGCTAGAAACTAAGAGGGAGCACGCTGAGCGAGTGGAACTAATAGTCTACTTCAGGATGTATTATTGCCAGCACTATACGCTGTGATTGCACCCGGGAATGGATGCAGAATGTGAATATTGCTATAATAATAATGTACTAAATGTACATGCTACCTGACGCCCGATAACGTGGCCGCTGGCTACACATTTCAGTGAAACAATACAAAAATGGGTTTTTAGCCTGAAAATTGAAAGTTGAAATGGAAAGTACTTGGTGAAAGCACAAAAGCTTGATTTGCAACTCTTCTACTAATAGGCAACACTTCTCAATAGCTCACAGAGGCGTTTGGATCAATCAGGATAGAGCTGGAAGGAACCTTGGAGGTCTTCTAGTCCAGCCCCCTGCTCAAGCAGGAGACCTTATACCATCTCAAACAAGTGACTGTCCAGTCTCTTCTTAAAAACCTCCAGCGATGGAGCACCCACAACTTCTGAAGGCAAGCTCTTCCACTGGTTAATTGTCCTCACTGTTAGGAAGTTTCTCTTTAATTCCTGGGAAGGTTATTTTTTTTCCACAGCTGCAGTTTTCTGGCTCAGACAGAGCAGAGAGCTCCATGCCATTCCTGGAAGAACAGCTGCACCAGGTCTTCAGTGTTGCAAACAAGCAGAGAAGTCATCATTTGGAGCATTTGAAGTTGGTCAACAGGACCTCCAAACTGGAAGAGGACATCTGCTGGGCCAGGCCAGGCTTTCATTTGGAGATGCTGGTGCCATATAAATTATGAAATAATAAATTAAGACATGATAGCAGGCTTCTAATAGAGTGGTACCTTGGACTCATTGTTAATTGGTTCCAGAAGGCGTGATGAGTACCGAACAAATTCTTCCTATAAAGAATAATGTAGTAAGTCATAAAGCAGCCGACACCGACAGGTTTTACCTTGTGCCGTGAATACTAAACAAAGGACGAGTACCGGGACAAACTTTTCACAACAAAATACATGGAGTAGCAAATCTGATGAGTTTCAAAGCAGCTGAGTACCAAGGTACTACTGTATTTGAGAGGCTGTCAGAAAGAAGAGGTATTTTTCAAAGCACCTGAGGGCAGGACAAGGAGCGGCAGGTGGAAACTTATCAAGGAAAGAAGCAACCTAGAACTAAGGAGAAATTTCCTGACGGCGAGAACAATTGATCATCCGAATGACTTGCCTCCAGAAGTTGTGAGGGCTTAATCACGGGAGGTTTTCAAGAAGAGATTGGACAGCCATTGGTCCATAATGGTGTAATGTGAAGGACTATGGTATATGGTCTCCTGCTTGAGCAAGGAGTTGGACTAGAAGATCTCCAAGGTCCCTTATAGAGCCGAGGTCGCGCAGTGGTTAGGGTGCGGTACTGCAGGCTACTTCAGCTGACTGTTATCTGCAATTCAGCGGTTCTAATCTCACNCCATGTCTAAACACTGAAGGCGCACAGAACGCTATTACCTTCCCACCAAAAGTGATTCCTGTTGGTTATTACCTTTAAAGCCCTGCATGGCTTAGGACCAGCATACCTGCGAGACCGCCTACTGCCACACTCCTTCTAACAGCCGGTAAGATCCCACAAGGTGGGCCTCCTTCAGATGCAGTCAGCCAGACAATGTCGGCTGGCGGCTCCCTGGAGGAGAGCCTTCTCTGTGGCTGCTCCAACCCTTTGGAACAAACTACCCCCAGAAATCCGGACCTCGTCCACTCTCATGGGCTTCAGAAAAGCTGTCAAGACCTGGCTATTCCGGCAGGCCTGGGGCTGTTGACCCCACTGCTGAGGTCTAGCCCCGACTGAAACGAATGTATCTGTGTTGTTTTTAACTTGTCTATTTTTATTTTTTATTTTCTTTTATTGTTTTCCTCCCCTCGCTGTAAGCCGCCCGGAGTCCTCCGGGATTGGGCGGCCTATAAATAAAATTAAACTTGAAACTTCCTATTTTTCTACTTGCATTTTTACATGCTTTCAAACTTGTATATTTGGCCGAAGCTGGGACAAGTAACGGGAGCTCACTCCATTATGCGGTGCTATAGATTCGAACCACTGAACTGCTGACCTTTCTGATCGACAAGCTCAGCATCTTAGCCACCTCCTATATTTATATATTACATGTATGTATGTATGTATGTATGTATGTATGTATGTATGTATGTATGTATGTATGTATCAGTGGCGGGTTTCAAAAATTGTTGGAACCTACTCTGTGGGTGTGGCCTCCTTTGTGGGAGTGGCTTGCCACCCATGTGAGTGAATGGGAGTGGTTTGCCGCCCATGTGACCGGATATGAAATTATGAATTAGTACTTAGGTCAGTCCAAATAGCTATTCAGAAACTCTGGCATTGAAGCATGCAAGTCTTAAAGCTGTCAAGTTACAAGATCCTTGCCAGTGGTGGGTTTCAAAAATGTTTGGAACCTCTTCTGTAGGTGTGGCCTGCTTTCCGGGTCCACTGNTTGGTTGGTTGGTTGGTTGGTTGGTTGGTTGGTTGGTTGGTTGGTAGATTGATTGGCTGGAGAGAAGTCCAAATCTTCATTTAGCCCTAAAACTCACTGGGGGATTTAGACGTCACTAGCCATCCTGTTCAATCTCATAATGTAGTTGTGAGGAGACCAGGAGAAATCACCCATGTCCTTAAGGTACTTAGATGGAAGGTTGAACAGAAAGAAATATATCTGGCCCTGAACTCCCATTTCTCTGCTTCCAAATTTGCTGCTATCTTTCTACCAAGGATCATTTGGGAAAGCTACATCTTCTTCCTTCACCATCCAGCCTCAGTTGCGGACATGAATGCACAATGGGCAAGAGATACTGAAAGGAGTGATTCCACAGTTAGAAGGGACGATGAAGTTAAGAATTGGATGTTCTATGCCTCAAGCAATTCTCACCTTCTAAAATCTTAACTTGCTTATTTGCATGCTCATCTCTGAAATATATATATATATACATGTAATTTGGTTCTCTTAATTCAGTCTCCAGGGAGATTCGATTTTGATTACAGCCCTATCTGGCTTTGGGCCAATCTGGAGATTAACAGAATCATTCCAAGCAATTTAATGTAGAAATAAAAGGTTAGGTTTGGGGAGAACAGTAATGGGAGGTAGGGGAACGACAGTGATGGGATGGACTCACGGATACAGGCTTGCGGTGTGCTGCCTCTTCTGACCAGGCCTGGTATGGCTCAATTTAGGCTCTTGGGCCATGTTTATATCTAGAGAAAAAGAAAAAATTGGCTTCTAAGGAGAAACAGCGGAGCCAAACAAGAGCACAAGCAGGAGAGGACCAATCTAGCAAAATAAATAGCACTTAGACTTATATACCGCTTTATAGCCCTCTCTAAGCAGTTTACAGAGTCAGCCTCTTGCCCCCAACAATCTGGGTCCTCATTCTACCCATCTCCGAGGGATGGAAGGCTGAATCAACGGATTGAACTGCAGACTGTGGGCAGAGTCAACCTGCAATACTACATTCTAAACTGTACCACCATGGAAGGAAGGAAGGAAGGAAGGAAGGAAGGAAGGAAGGAAGGAAGGAAGGAAGGAAGGAAGGAAGGAATAGCAATAGCACTTAGACTCATATACCACTTCATAGTGCTTTTACAGCCCTCTCTAAAAGCAGTTTACAGAGTCAGCCTCTTGCCCCCAACAATCTGGGTCCTCATTCTACCCACCTCCGAGGGGTGGAAGGCTGAATCAACCTTGAGCCGGTCAGGATCGAACTGCTGGCAGTCGGCAGAATTAACCTGCAATACTGCATTCTAGCCAATGCGTCAGCAAGGCTCATGACCCTTTTGTCACCCACATGAAGAAGAGAAAGTTGAAGCTAAAATTTAGAAGGAAACAAGGCATGGACATCTTTTCAACCTATCTGTGCTATTTATCAGCTTTGGAATTGTCTGAAGACAGAATTGGGCTCTTCACTCAGGGGGCTGGCAGCATAGATGCAATTTTAAGCATCATTTAACCCCCTGGGGAGGGCAAAGATGCTCCTTTTGGGGGGGATAAAAAAAGACCAGCTTGCTTCTTGCCAATCTAGCTTGCAAAGGATGTGTTAAGATTAAAAAAAAATTTCTGATACAGAATTATTGTTTTGTTTCATGGAGAAAGGAAAGCGTTTCTTTAGCTGCACTAAAAATCCAAAATGCATTTCAAAGTTGAAGTGCTTCCTTAACTAGGAACTGTAATTGAGGCTGCTTCCTATACTTACTCATATATATATATATATATATATATATATATATA